GTCAATTCACTCCGACATCTCTAATTCACTTTTTTTTTTATTGGTGCCTGGTATAATATCAGAGTGTTCGGCCCGGTGCGGGCGCAATTTGACTCCAAAAAAGGCGAAACTTGCGGTGATGAAATCTCATTCAGCGACATTTCGAATGGTATAGGTCCTGTCAATTCACTCCGACATCTCTAATTCACTTTTTTTTTAATTGGTGCCTAGTATAATATCAGAGTGTTCGGCCTGGTGCGGGCGCAATTTGACTCCAAAAAAGGCGAAACTTGCGGTGATGAAATCTCATTCAGCGACATTTCGAATCATATAGGTCCTGTCAATTCACTCCGACATCTCTAATTCACTTTTTTTTTAATTGGTGCCTGGTATAATATCAGAGTGTTCGGCCTGGTGCGGGCGCAATTTTCCTCCAAAAAAGGCGAAACTTGCGGTGATGAAATCTCATTCAGTGACATTTCGAATGGTATAGGTCCTGTCAATTCACTCCGACATCTCTAATTCACTTTTTTTTAATTCGTGCCTGGTATAATATCAGAGTGTTCGGCCTGGTGCGGGCGCAATTTGACTCCAAAAAAGGCGAAACTTGCGGTGATGAAATCTCATTCAGTGACATTTCGAATAGTATAGGTCCGGTCAATTCACTCCGACATCTCTAATTCACTTTTTTTTTTAATTGGTGCCTGGTATAATATCAGAGTGTTCGGCCTGGTGCGGGCGCAATTTGACTCCAAAAAAGGCGAAACTTGCGGTGATGAAATCTCATTCAGCGACATTTCGAACGGTATAGGTCCTGTCAATTCACTCCGACATCTCTAATTCACTTTTCTTTTTAATTGGTGCCTAGTATAATATCAGAGTGTTCGGCCTGGTGCGGGCGCAATTTTCCTCCAAAAAAGGCGAAACTTGCGATGATGAAATCTCATTCAGTGACATTTCGAATGGTATAGGTCCTGTCAATTCACTCCGACATCTCTAATTCACTTTTTTTTTAATTGGTGCCTAGTATAATATCAGAGTGTTCGGCCTGGTGCGGGCGCAATTTGACTCCAAAAAAGGCGAAACTTGCGGTGATGAAATCTCATTCAGTGACATTTCGAATGGTATAGGTCCGGTCAATTCACTCCGACATCTCTAATTCACTTTTTTTTTTAATTGGTGCCTGGTATAATATCAGAGTGTTCGGCCTGGTGCGGGCGCAATTTGACTCCAAAAAAGGCGAAACTTGCGGCGATGAAATCTCATTCAGTGACATTTCGAATCATATAGGTCCTGTCAATTCACTCCGACATCTCTAATTCACTTTTTTTTAATTCGTGCCTGGTATAATATCAGAGTGTTCGGCCTGGTGCGGGCGCAATTTGACTCCAAAAAAGGCGAAACTTGCGGTGATGAAATCTCATTCAGTGACATTTCGAATGGTATAGGTCCGGTCAATTCACTCCGACATCTCTAATTCACTTTTCTTTTTAATTGGTGCCTAGTATAATATCAGAGTGTTCGGCCTGCTGCGGGCGCAATTTGACTCCAAAAAAGGCGAAACTTGCGGTGATGAAATCTCATTCAGTGACATTTCGAATGGTATAGGTCCTGTCAATTCACTCCGACATCTCTAATTCACTTTTTTTTAATTGGTGCCTAGTATAATATCAGAGTGTTCGGCCTGGTGCGGGCGCAATTTGACTCCAAAAAAGGCGAAACTTGCGGTGATGAAATCTCATTCAGCGACATTTCGAATCGTATAGGTCCTGTCAATTCACTCCGACATCTCTAATTCACTTTTTTTTTTAATTGGTGCCTAGTATAATATCAGAGTGTTCGGCCCGGTGCGGGCGCAATTTGACTCCAAAAAAGGCGAAACTTGCGGTGATGAAATCTCATTCAGTGACATTTCGAATGGTATAGGTCCGGTCAATTCACTCCGACATCTCTAATTCACTTTTTTTTTAATTGGTGCCTGGTATAATATCAGAGTGTTCGGCCCGGTGCGGGCGCAATTTGACTCCAAAAAAGGCGAAACTTGCGGTGATGAAATCTCATTCAGTGACATTTCGAATGGTATAGGTCCTGTCAATTCAATCCGACATCTCTAATTCACTTTTCTTTTTAATTGGTGCCTAGTATAATATCAGAGTGTTCGGCCTGCTGCGGGCGCAATTTGACTCCAAAAAAGGCGAAACTTGCGGTGATGAAATCTCATTCAGTGACATTTCGAATGGTATAGGTCCTGTCAATTCACTCCGACATCTCTAATTCACTTTTTTTTTTATTGGTGCCTGGTATAATATCAGAGTGTTCGGCCTGGTGCGGGCGCAATTTGACTCCAAAAAAGGCGAAACTTGCGGTGATGAAATCTCATTCAGCGACATTTCGAATCGTATAGGTCCTGTCAATTCACTCCGACATCTCTAATTCACTTTTTTTTTTAATTGGTGCCTAGTATAATATCAGAGTGTTCGGCCCGGTGCGGGCGCAATTTGACTCCAAAAAAGGCGAAACTTGCGGTGATGAAATCTCATTCAGTGACATTTCGAATGGTATAGGTCCGGTCAATTCACTCCGACATCTCTAATTCACTTTTTTTTTAATTGGTGCCTAGTATAATATCAGAGTGTTCGGCCTGGTGCGGGCGCAATTTGACTCCAAAAAAGGCGAAACTTGCGGTGATGAAATCTCATTCAGTGACATTTCGAATGGTATAGGTCCGGTTAATTCACTCCGACATCTCTAATTCACTTTTTTTTTATTGGTGCCTAGTATAATATCAGAGTGTTCGGCCCGGTGCGGGCGCAATTTGACTCCAAAAAAGGCGAAACTTGCGGTGATGAAATCTCATTCAGTGACATTTCGAATCATATAGGTCCTGTCAATTCACTCCGATATCTCTAATTCACTTTTTTTTTTAAATTGGTGCCTAGTATAATATCAGAGTGTTCGGCCTGGTGCGGGCGCACTTTGACTCCAAAAAAGGCGAAACTTGCGGTGATGAAATCTCATTCAGTGACATTTCGAATCATATAGGTCCTGTCAATTCACTCCGACATCTCTAATTCACTTTTTTTTTAAATTGGTGCCTAGTATAATATCAGAGTGTTCGGCCTGGTGCGGGCGCACTTTGACTCCAAAAAAGGCGAAACTTGCGGTGATGAAATCTCATTCAGTGACATTTCGAATGGTATAGGTCCTGTCAATTCACTCCGACATCTCTAATTCACTTTTTTTTTAATTGGTGCCTAGTATAATATCAGAGTGTTCGGCCTGGTGCGGGCGCACTTTGACTCCAAAAAAGGCGAAACTTGCGGTGATGAAATCTCATTCAGTGACATTTCGAATCATATAGGTCCTGTCAATTCACTCCGACATCTCTAATTCACTTTTTTTTAAATTGGTGCCTAGTATAATATCGGTCTGTCGGGAAAATAACGGCGGATCGTCGCGCCTCGGAATCGCATATTATCGCTCTGCGACTGAAAGCCGCGGCTTGGGATTTGGTGCGCGATAGCGGCGAGGCGAGACATTTTGATGCGACGATCCGCCGTTATTTTCCCGACAGACTGATATCAGAGTGTTCGGCCTGGTGCGGGCGCACTTTGACTCCAAAAAAGGCGAAACTTGCGGTGATGAAATCTCATTCAGTGACATTTCGAATCATATAGGTCCTGTCAATTCACTCCGACATCTCTAATTCACTTTTCTTTTTAATTGGTGCCTAGTATAATATCAGAGTGTTCGGCCTGATGCGGGCGCAATTTGACTCCAAAAAAGGCGAAACTTGCGGTGATGAAATCTCATTCAGTGACATTTCGAATGGTATAGGTCCGGTCAATTCACTCCGACATCTCTAATTCACTTTTTTTTTAATTGGTGCCTGGTATAATATCAGAGTGTTCGGCCTGGTGCGGGCGCAATTTTCCTCCAAAAAAGGCGAAACTTGCGATGATGAAATCTCATTCAGTGACATTTCGAATGGTATAGGTCCTGTCAATTCACTCCGACATCTCTAATCCACTTTTTTTTTAATTGGTGCCTAGTATAATATCAGAGTGTTCGGCCTGGTGCGGGCGCAATTTGACTCCAAAAAAGGCGAAACTTGCGATGATGAAATCTCATTCAGTGACATTTCGAATGGTATAGGTCCTGTCAATTCACTCCGACATCTCTAATTCACTTTTTTTTTAATTGGTGCCTAGTATAATATCAGAGTGTTCGGCCTGGTGCGGGCGCAATTTGACTCCAAAAAAGGCGAAACTTGCGGTGATGAAATCTCATTCAGTGACATTTCGAATAGTATAGGTCCGGTCAATTCACTCCGACATCTCTAATTCACTTTTTTTTTTAATTGGTGCCTGGTATAATATCAGAGTGTTCGGCCTGGTGCGGGCGCAATTTGACTC